GAAGAAATGTAACTGATGATGATAATAACTTTTTATATGGCACCTTTCATAAACCCAAGCACGCAACAACACACATTTATAATGACAGAAAAAGTGTATAAAAATAATATTACATTTTATTTATAAATCACTTTTTAATGTACTCAGACATTTAACAGCGTGAGTATGTGAATAAGACACTTCTCCCAATCTGTTTACCTGGTGTCAATTCAATCCACAAACTGAATTGGTGATTTCAGAGTTATCATCAGTTAGATCAAATGCTCACCCCCTGATCTTCTCTGCAGGGACATCATGATCACTCACTTTGAGCCGTCCATCTCATACGAGGGTCTGTACGGGGAGGTGAAGGACATGTGCTCCATGGACAACGAGCAACTCTTCACCATGAAGTGGATCGACGAGGAAGGTAAGACCCCTCCCCCAACAACTCATCTCTGCACCCCTCACTGTTTCTCTCCATCTCTGATTTGATTACTGTCAATTGTGTCAGCTATTTCTATGTAGTCTGAGTCTTAGCCCTGTGTCAAAAGACCTTGTTTTTTTTATTTCATTAGTGACATTTGGTAGAGATTTTGGTAAATGAAGGTTGTTCTATTGATATCTTTGTCAAAGAAAACTGTTGACATTTAGTCTTTTAGTTATCAGTATTTGCACATATATTTAATCTAGTTAGTGCCGTCTGGCCTTCGTGTATAACTCATTGAAAGGCTGCCTTTATCATTTTGGTTAAATAAATGCAACTTGTTTAAAACGAGGTTTGAGAGGCAAGCCAGAATACACCATCCAACATATTTGTTTAAACAAATCGGCAATCATGTCATTGTCACTTGTGTCGGCATTTGAGGCTGTGTGAGTTCAGCTGTGCTCTCTTTACTCTCTCTACACTGATGATTGTCGTACCAACACACCAAATCAAGTCATCATTAAGTACTCTGATGATACTGCAATAATATCTCTGCACAGTAACACAGACGACCCTGAGCTGCACCAACAGGCTGTAAATCAGGTGGTTGAGTGGACTGATAACAATGCTCTTGAGATCAACACCAAGAAAACTGAGGAAATCATTTTTGGCTCACCATCTGACTCCCATAAAGTCCCCATTGTCATCCATACAGATGAAATCAAGCAGGGAGTTTCATACAAATACTTGGGTGTAATGATTGACCATCTGCTGTCATGGAAGGATCACATTGAATATCTGTGCAAAAGAACAAAACAAAGAATAAATGTTCTCCGCCGTCTTAGGTCTTTTGGGGCGAGCAGAGAAATTCTTCTGTTGTTCTTTACATCTGTGATCATGTCTATTCTGCAGTACTGCAATACTACCTGGTACAAATGTTTGTCAGCAGCTTTAAAATCAAAACTGCTCCACCTGTTAAAAATCTGCTCAAAGATTGTTGGTCAACCCTGTCAGAGACTCTATGACTCAGCCTATCATAACAACCTCGTGAGGCTGTCCAACAACATCATCTCTGACCCAAACCATGTTCTGAACAGTGAATATGAACTGCTACCATCTAATCGGAGATACAGGGTCCCACGATTCAATAAAGTCAGACTGAAGCATTCCTTTGTGCATCAGTCAATCCTCACAGTAAATACAGAGCTAAATCCCAGATCAAATGCACGCTGAAGGCTCTTTGAGCAGCTTTTCTCTCACTGATTGTGCTGTTATGTTAAATGTTTGTTGTTTGTATTTCATGTATTTTTGTCTGGATATTTGTCTGTTGATGTTGGACATGGAGCTGCTGTGACGCAAGTCAAATTTCAGACTTGATCTGACAAATAAAGTAATATCGTATCGTATCGTATGAAACACGGTTTTCTCATAACTTCAGTGAAAATGCTCCAAACAGCCCAAAACTTCACAGGTTTGGTAACGATGCAGCCATCAACATATCTAAGCGTATTATGGCGTGTCATCAAATACCGTTGCCATGGCAACAGATCATTCGCCATCAAGTTAGTTCAATAGTTTGCAGTTGAAATATTCTGCTGCTTTTCCAAGCTTTCTTACTTTATGTTCTTCTCTTATCACACATTCAAGCCCCCAGTGTTCATGTATCATTTCAATCTAAATTCTTCACTTTCTTCTTAAACATTACATTTCAGCATAGCAATTCAGCGTCAGCTTTTCAGCATAGAGCATTCCCACTAGCAATTCAGGAATTGCATTCTCAAGTTCCTCTTGTGTTCCTGTTCAGCCTTTCCCTTCTCTGCCCATCTACACACCTGCTCTGAATCAGCCTCGTTAGTCCTTCTCTGCTACCACAGTTTCTCTGAGCCAATCAACTCCTCACCTGTATCCAGAGTTTCCCCCCAGCCAATCAGTTCCCTGACTTAACTCCTGTTTAATCATTTTGTTCCCTTCACCTGAGCTTCTCAACACATCTCTCTACCTGCACGTCCTCCACTTATCAGATACATTTGTATTTAGGTTCTCGAGTACAGTCTCTTTTGGATCCTTGGTTTTGTTATGTCATCGTTTGCCTTGCTTTGCAAGTTATTTTTCCAAGTTCCTGTTGCCTGCAGTCTCCTGCGTTTGACTCAATTAGCTCCACTCTTCATGACTCAAGGTAAAAACGTAATTTGTTTTTAAATGAAAAAAAAAAAATGCTTCCTTTCACTGTATTTTGTAATCCAAGAGAGATAGAAAAGTGACATGTCTAAAACAAAACTGCAATGTTAAAAGGTAAATGTATTTTGTTTGTATGTACAGAAGTCAACCTTGGCATTTTTATAGTAAATAAATATATATTTTTTTCAGTTTAAGAAAGCACTTTTTTTTTGTATGGAAGTGTAATTTTACACGGTTAGGTTAAACATTTCTACACAACACCTGTTTATATGTTGCCTGCATCCTACACCAATGACCTCATGAGCAATTCCTGAGGTTTCAAATGTTTGCTTGCTAATCAGGTTCAAAAGGCAATGCAATCTCAATTGCCTCTGTGTAACATCCTCATGCTCATGAACCTGGTAGTGCAATCAGTTGATATAATGCTGTTGAGAGAAAATGAAATGACCTGGTATAGTCACTGGAGAGGTATACTGTTAATCATATCTGTTTATTAAATGAGCAGTTTATGTTCCATGAAGTGCAGAGAAAATAAATGGAGGATGGGATGGTGAGGGACGTATTAACACCCCTTCTTTGGTTCAAGTCCTGTTGTTGCTGTTGTCTTCTTTTATACCTTAATTACAACTTTGACCTCAACTAACCAGATAGAATAGCACTTTTTTTTAATAGCCACACTTTTAGAGTTATTTTTGGCGATAAAAAAACAATTTGATTAATTCTAAAAAAATAATAATATATATCTGTGTTCTCTTATTTATTTATATTTCTAAATAATTGCCTGTAATTGTGTCCTGTGTATCTTTGCCACTTAATTGACTGGGTTTTTCTTTATTATTTCATATTTAGTTATTTTCCTGCCTCCAACTCAACCAGTTCATTGAGGACATTCACATTTTTCAGTTCAACCAATCAGAAGTTGCCATGTCTTCTATCATACTGAACCATACAGCTGTACCGGAAGTAAAGATGCAGAGTGCTGTGTGAGTCTGCTCTTATGAAACAGTTTAATATGATTTGTAAAGATAAATCGCCACTTTATGACTCATGCACCGTAGCATATGCTTGGTAAATAGTTTTTTCGACATTATTTTCAGACCATGCTGATATGGAAGCATTTATCTATAATTGCGACATCAGAAAAACTCCAGGCGAATTAATCTACTCTTTTGGGAAGTTGTTGGGGTCCCATCTCCCAGACTGCCTGTTGTCAGATTGATATGTTGCTTCAGGTTCCATTGGGAAATTGTGAACAAGACAGAAATACAAATGAGGCACTTGGGAAAATGAGGAATAGAATTCGGACATATACAGAGCACTGAAAATAACTTGTACGCACATCTGTGAAAGACATCATGGTGTCTGGCTGGTGGGGATATCAGAAGGACTTTCATCGTATTCCTCCACAACTTCCGTCAGTCTTTTTTTAAGTCTTCAGCTCTCTTTTCATTTCCAAGCTCACAGCTTGATAAACAATGAACTGTGTTGGAAGGAAATGTTAATTTAAATGGTATAATCCATCAATGGCAGGGATATTTTATCTTGTCATCATAGAAAATCTTTTATATACTGTACATTCACAAACGGGGTGTTGGATTGCACTTGAAGACAGCTTTTGTCAGAAAAAGGATGTCTTTGGTCTCTAGGCTGTTCAATTTATGACAGTGTCAAACGTTAAGGGCCAAATACTGACAAGAGGCGCTTTCACACCGGAGTACTTTTCCCAGGAATAGTTCCGATAGTTTCTGGGATTTTGCGTTCACACCAAAATGATCTGGGACCTCATTTATAACGCCGTGCGTAGGATTCACGTGGGAAGGTTGCTTACGTAGTAGAAATCCAAAAAATAGGTACAGAAATGTTCCGACATTTTCCGATTCACCAAACATTGCGTACCGGTGAGGAAAGTGCGTACAGCACTTCCTACGCCGGTTTCCCTTTTTATAAATCACAATCGACTCGAAATGCGGTGCAGCTTTTGCGGGCTTCACGTAACGCCCATTTTTGCCTATAAATAGTCAAAGAAACGCCCTTTCATTCATTCATTTNATCTACCGTCCAATTGTTTTTATTTATTAAACACGTAAACGGAAGAGCATCATTAGACCATTTAGTAAGGTAGAAAGCAAAAAGCAAAAAGGCCTCTCAAATGCTCTTCCGTTTACGTGTTTAATAAATAAAAACAATTGGACGGTAGATACACGGATTAAGATGTCACAGTTGAGGCACACAATACAAATATAAACCTGAAAATGAGCATACAGTAATAATCCTCTTTATTTATTCTTCTGTTGTTAACTGTTAAAATAGCAATTATTGAAAGAAGAAAAACATCAATGTCAAAACCATATTCAAACTTTTGATCAGCAGTCTTTATTAAAAGTGGACCTTAACAAAAACAGAGCAAACTTAGTGCTCATGAAATGAAAATGACACCCTGCAACGAAAGTTAAAAGAGGGAAGAAAGTAACAGAGTGAAGTGAAACACAGATGACTCGTGCAAAACTTTAGACTATTTATGTTTTTCCTTCCCTGTGCATCTTTCAAATGTTCTCGCTCATTTGAAGACAGATAACCTTTAGTCAGTGCTCTGAGTGGAAATACCTCAGTCATGAAAAACCATGAATGAAAAAGGTTAAATGAGAGGCTTTTTCATACAGTACATCTAGTGTTCACTGTCACCTACACTTATTGAATTCACAGAAGCACAAGTTCTTAATCAAAAGAGAGTATATGTACATGTCTCAAAATAAGTGTGAATTTTAATCTCTAATGTAAAATATGTTTAAAAACTTGTATTTATCTTTTTATTATTTGCATTTTCAGAAATTATTTAATGACATAACAAAATAGACACAGATAAATACATAGATTAACTATATCAAACGACAAAGAGACTGCAAACTTTTTTTATAGGCAAATACACCCTGTAAACTACACCACACTATTATATGAATATGTAAAGTATATGTAAAGCCTCACTTTCATACTTGTTTGTCTGCAATATGTTGAAACGACTGAGGATTTGTTAGCACTCCCATTTCCTTAACCGAGTTATTCAACCTTATGCTATGCTCTTTTTGTTCTTCTTACTGTACCTCACCCCCAGAATGGCACATGCAGTACATACTCAACATGACAATCTGTTCTATAGACCAGTGGTTCTCAACTGGTCAGGCCTCGGGACCCACTTTTTCCTTAGTCAATAAATCGCGACCCGAAATGTTGAACCACTCAAATCTATTCAACAAAAGATCCTGCAGTAATATATACGCTTTGCAGCAAACAATATGAATGAAAGTGAAGTACGGTGCATATCCCTTACATCCCTTCACAGAACTAAAGAATGCTTTTAAATAAGGTTTAATGAGATGAT